AAAAATTTAAATATTTAATCCATATATTATATTTATATATGTTTATTAATAGTTGATACTGCGTAATGCTTATACAGTACCTATAAATTATATACATAAAGAATAAAGATGTTGAATAGGTGTGTCTACAATTATTACGGCAGTGAGCGAGTACGTAAATCTTCTGATACGTTTTTTACATCATTATTATTTAAGAGTATATCACAGCCTTTTAGAATTTGTATCGCTAAATATAGAAACCACCAAGGCCTAATTATATATTTTAGCAAATCATTATACAATCATAACCAACAGAATATAATATGGACTGTGCAAGCTCCCCGTCTTATAATATAATATTCCGCAAGTGCCGAGCACCTATATCAAGTATTATTATCAACTAAATATTATATTATACTTATTGCAGACTTATATTATAGTGACGTTAGTCGAAGTGCTTACGGCTCTTCTGGGTGGCATCCGGGTATATGTATGTATACTGTATAGTTGATTTACAGGAGGAGTGAAAATCGCAGTGCAATTATGTATGTATATAACTGCGTATGACTTTATAATATTGTATATTGTTTATGATACATCACGAGGTCTAGGGTCCTGCGGGTAAAAAGTTTAGGTACCCGAAGAAGCGCCGCTGACGTATGTTATGCTTATGACTATACCTATAGACACACGGTGTACACTTTGTGATCGAGTTAAATTGCCCGACGATATCTATCTATATATATACATGTATACACAAGCACGTTATAATAATAGCAATGTTTCCGGTTAAGAGGACGCTATACCCGCATGTGTTACAAGAGCGTAACATAAAATTTTACGTTCAGCAGATCACGTTTAGCTCAGTTAGCTTAAAAATTAGAGTGAATTGACCCCTTATTAAAATTAAAGGTAAGATTATTACGGAAGGCTTCTTATAGGCTTTTTATTATATTTTAATTTTAAAGAGAGTTATTAGTATTTAAAAATTGTAAATTGTTTGTACAACTTAAAATTGGTACAAGTTTGTTATGGTAACATCTTAACTTTTAACCACATGCGGTTTACACAGAACTGTGCGGCGGGGACATGGTGATAATGGAGGTACCCACCTTACCCACCTAACCTCCACTTTAGTTATAAACGAAATATAACCTCCTTTGTCGTTGGTTGAAAGAATAAGGTATTAAATAATCTATTAGTTTGAAATAAACATTACATATTTAAATTAAAAATAATATACACCCATTCAAACATTTGAATGGTTATTTTTATATGATGGCAGCTCAATATTTATTTTCCTCTCTTAGCCTCGCCAACATGGCAAATTTATGTTTAATAGAACCAACACTATGTTGTTACTTTAAATCTTACAGTGATTTCACTTATTTTCAAACTTTAAGCTAAGAATATTACCTGTGCCCCTACTTTAGCTTTGATACGATATTTTAATTTGTATACAATTTATAAGCATTTTTAACTTGCAATAATTTACTCACTTATTATAAGTTGTATAAAAATTAAAATACCGTAAAATAGCCAACGTAGGGTCCTCAGGAGTCAGGGACACAGGTTATGTTCTTAGCTTAAAGTTTGATAATAAGTGAATTTACTCTAATATTAAAAGTAGTACACATGGTTGGTTCTGTTAAACATAAATTAGCTATGTTCCGAGTAAGTCAGACTGTTAGAGAGAGAGAAAACAGATAGTTCGTTGACATCCTCTTTATTGGAATTGTTCAAATATTATAACATTTTGTCATTTGTTGTGGAAATGAATGTTGTATACGCATTATGCTTTCATTTAATATTGCGATTGCAATGCTATTAGCATCTACCTAAATAAATAGGTATGTAAACGATCTTATATAAGTTTCGTATAAAGCCACCGAGTTCGCTTAACGCTGACCATATTGGGTATATTTTAGTTTCAATCAACACTAATCAATTTCTGTTATTAACAGCATTCAAAGCACGCATCTACTATTTTAACATAACAATATATATAATATCCAACCCATCGTCAATTTTAAATAGTTTTCTAACTAAATAGTATTAAAAGGTTGTTAAATCTGTATAAATGTATCAGTCACAGTTTTAGTTAAATAGTTTTCACTCGCAGAAAGATTCTATAGTGAGACTTTATAGATCTGAATTGAGTTGTAATACGTATAATACATAAGATACGTATGTAGAGAAACTTTATTTTACATACAATGACCTGTTGGATAAAATTATTTTTGATAGCAAGTAAACAACAATAAATACCCAGAAAAATAACTAAACGTTTGATGAATTACATAATATAATAAATACCTAAATATTTTTTGGTTTATCTATAATATTGTATACAATTATTAAAATAATCCCTATTTTTTTAAATAACCCTTCAAGAATGATAAATTACAGCACATTTTTAGATCATGATCTATAAGGGCACACAAGATAGAGAAATCTAAATTTTTTAGTGTGTGTCTATATTCTTACTCTATGGGTGTGTGCGCAGGTAGGTACCTATGTTTAATGTTTATACCTATCTATGTAATAGGTCGATAATAAAGGCGGGTTGCATGAAAAATGCATGAATTTAATAAATTGTTCACAACAATTTAGTACACCAATCATATGCCACTAAATCAAGGGCCATTAACTTACTACTGATTCAGTAAATATTTCGTGATTATAAATGCAGCCAGACTTATAACTATAAATTATACAAACCTATAAAAAAACATATAAACATATTGTATATGTTCATTAAAAAATTAGTTTTATTTATTTGTATGTATTTAATAGTCTCTATATTTTAGAGATAGCATATATTTATGGATTTATAATTTATCACGCACTCTAATAATATAGGTAGGTATTGGGAAAAATATTACATATTTTACTGAAATTGTATATTCGTATACTTACCTAGGTATTTTTTTGTATCGTACTTTCTTCATTCTTGCTGTCTGACATATTTATTGTGGCTCAATAGAGAGATTTATTGAATTCATTTACGTTTGAAAATTATTACTATTTCCTAAGTCATACGTATTGATTGCAGTTGCTTAATGACATATTTTAGTAAACAATAGTTTATTTTTAAATATTGTATTCAATATTCAGGACCGTGGTTGCCAAATTTAAACCACGGTTAAAATGGTAGATTGCTTTCTTCCGTGACCGCCGATGGTTTCTCTAAGACCGCCAAACGGTCCGATTAACATCAAAACAAAACCGTTTTCGCTTTAGCGTAAATTATTGTTGTGAAGGGTGACATAATTTCGGCAAAACAATTCGTCCATAATATTAGATTAATTTATGAGCTACAGCAAAATGAGTGGGCTCTTTCCAGAGGATCATAGGAGTTAAGGAGTAAGGATCATCAGGGTAAGATGCACAGTCACCTACATGTAAATTATTTAATGGCTTATCTCGTATAATGAGATGACTCTACGAATGTTACTTAGAATGTGTTGTGGTTTATTTAAGGGTCACCTTATTTTATTTTAGCTGGTGTTATTATTTTTTATGGGACAAAATATCATACCATTTCTCCACAATCAAATATATAACGCAAAACATATAACACAAAATATAACGAATGTTAATCCATCTAAATTTTTTATTGTATTCATTTAATTTATTTTAATTGGCTTTTAATTTTTCGGACCATTTTTTTTAGAGCGTTCTATTAAGATTTATAATATTGTTAGTGCATTAAGTCGTATTTTTTCTTGTTTTTTTTTTAAAGCATTTAAATCAAAGATGACGAGAAAACAATGCATATGTATATCTATGTCTCATGTATCTATGCATGTCGCTCGTCGTATGACAAAATAATTGTAAACAGACATTAGACTACAAAATTAAATACTGCTAGTATAATCAAATCAAAATAATGACTCCGTTCAGTTTCCATATTTTTGGTGTGCCTATTGTGTGAAAAATATGCTATTTCTAAATCAACTTCTCAAAGGGAAGGTCAGAGCTATATTCTTACATTATTGTCTATATGTTCATTGTTGAATATTTGTATTTAATTTAAATATTTTAAATTGCCTACAAATCTCACTATACGTCTACAAAAATAGTTTAAACAACTTGGTAGGACCCAGCATTAGGGGTTCACCTAAAAAAACTAAATTAATATATAAGCTTAATTCAATTATAGAAAAACATAACACAGTGAGTTTCGCTTAATGTGATCACTGGTTTATAGAATCAACCGTTTATTTGAATCAAAAATGAAAATCCCAAACCAAAATGTATGTTACTGAAAAACCTAACGTAATTGACCTTTTATTAGAATCACTAAATACCGTATAATTGAATCACTTTCATGAACAATCTTAACGTTTTAATGGTATTTCAAACTGATTAATTATAAAATTAATTTTATTTTTGAACTTATTAGTATGACAGTATATCGTTGTACGTTATTATGTTATTCAATTATCTTTGTGCGTTGTGTACTTGTGTCATTTATTATGTATGTTACAGTAAATATGTGTAACTGTATAAAAAGATTGAATCATGAAAAAAATGTTGTTAATGTTTTATAGAATCAACCGGTTAATAGAATCAAAATGACCTGCACCAAAGTGATCACATTAGTAAACGGAATCCACAGACCCACAGTATTGTGAAAACAGAAACCGTCAACGAAGTAAAAAATAAAAATGCTTGTCGATTGCGGCTTTCCATTCGACAACGGCTACGGCAGCGACATCTGGCTGTGCGGCTAGCGACTGCGCCGAGAATGTCAATATGTCCTCCGGTAGAATGAGATTAGGCCGCACGCGTTGTTATCGCACTTTGGCTGCAGTAGTGCAGTGTTAACCGCACAGAATCCGCGTAAAGTTCACCGTCGCCAATCTTCCGCTTCTTCTTCGCAGTTCTCATAGTAATTTTCTAATTGTTCATGGTCACCTTGAAGTTATGCGGCGCGCGCGTCGACCAGAACCGTTCGTGTTAGCCGTCTGTGGTCGCCGTCCGGGCTACAGTGTTGTACGTATTGACGCTGTCCAATGACCACCAAAAACGGTAGCAACATCGTAGTCGAGTGGCTTCGGTCCCTGCACCTGGGCCAGTACGCCGATTCGTTCTTGGACAACGGGTATGACGATCTGGAGATCTGCAAGCAGGTCGGCGACCCCGATATGGACGCTATCGGCGTGTTCAACCCGTCTCACCGCAACCGGCTGCTGCAGTCTGTTCGCACACTGCGTGAGGAGGGCGCAGCCAGTGTTTATTTCACTCTCGAAGAGTCCGCCGCGATACAGGAGGAATGTAAGTATTCCACCTCCAAAGAGCAATGCGCTCCCAGCCCTGGCCACTCGTCGGGCAGCAGTACGCAAGAGCTTCAGCAGGTACATTATGATGAGTACGAAGAAGGAAAAGCTGAACTAGTCAGGATACCTAAACTTCAGTTGAAGTTATTGCTTAAGGACAAATTACTACAAGATGGCATTCGACTCAGCTCTCAACCATACACTACTCAGGTAAGTGTCACCTACACCTATTATATTATTTCTCTGCCGAATTAAGTTTTATATTTTGTTACATGTCACCTGTACACTATTGATTAGTAGGTAGAATCCAATGTGTAGGTTGATTGAATTCATTCTCAAGTTATTGTAATACAGTCAGTGTTTAATATACACCTCTAATTGTCATATAGACTATAGAGTATGTCCAGTTAGCATAGTTATAGGAAAATGTTTATCTGGTCCAATACTGTCTGTGTTATGGACATATAACATTTGTTAAACAACATTTTTATAAAAATAGATATCAATTTCTAAAAATTGATTGTATTTTATGAACAATTCTTTAAGCATTTGTAGTTTTTTGGATGGGTGAAGAACTATTGAAAAAATTATTTTGCATTGTGTCTTTATTTTGAAATCTGAAAACTGAATGAGAATAATTATTATATTTTATAGTGTAGGTATCCATTACCATTAGGCAATGACAAACATCCATTTAAATATTCCATATATTTTGTCTTTTTCCAGTGACAAAACCTTTAACCATACCTACATGCTTAATTATTTAATTTCTTCATTATATTGTTTATATTACTAAGGTATCCCAATAGTACCAGTACCAGTCCTAAAAAAAAATGTGTGTATTGGGTTTTTGATATGCTTATGATATATTTTCCTTTGAATACCACAGATATTGAGATGGTATTTTTGTTAAAGAAATGTTGATAGATGTTTACTCAGTTAGTGATGTTGCAATGTATATTATTTAGTAACATACAGAAAATAGAATTATTTTTTTTAGATTTTAGAAAACTTCTATAAATGTATGTTGTATAAAAGTTTAAAATACTTCTGTATTAACATAAAGTGAAAAAAACAATATCAGTTAGTACTTGAAAACATCTAAACTACTCCTCCATCTGCTTTCTTATAATATGATATTGCACTGGTAAAATATCAATTGAACAAAAATCGGAAGAATATTAATTTGAAATTGGGGGTCTAGATAAAAGTACAAATTTCGTATTTATTTTGCTGATTTAAATACTCCTAGGATCCTGTGATAATTAAAAAATATAAGTAGGTACTCTCATTACATTATTTATACTAGTTAGATACTAAGGTTCCTACTTATATACTTTTATTTATTTTATAAATTGCTTAAGAGGACGTAACATATTTTGTTGTATCTGTGCAGAACAATTAGTGCGTAATATACCAAATTTACGCTCAGTAGATCATGTATAGCAAATTGATTTTAAATTTTGAGCGACTCGACCTATTATGAACCGGCAGGTATGAATATTATCTGTGTTAGTATGTGGTTTTTTACGATAGTTCACATTTTTAGCAGGTTTTTCTTATTTAATATAGGGTAAATTAAAAATACTCAACCTCGTTCATAACTCACTTAAAAACTAAATTATCGTAAAAAACACACATAGAAAACCAGATTATGTTTTTACCATCAAGTTTCATAATTCACTCTAATTTTTAAACTAACGAAGCTAAACGTGATCTGATGAGCATAAATGTACCATGTTACGCACTTGTAAGACAACAAATGCCCGTGTAGAGCTGTTGTCTTAATAAAATGTGATGATTAATTAGTTTTTAATATTTTATATCAATGGAATTTTTCCAAAAAAACTGTTAAATGTTTACCAAAATTCACAAAATCTGTTGGTAATTGATTTGTTATCTGCATCGTAGATTACCTAGATATTATTGATAATAATTTACTAATAAGTGTAATGTCATCATGTAGGTATTTACGTGTAGATATTTATTTGCAGGTAGTTAATATAAAATACAATTTAAAAATTAAATTATATTCTCTATTTTCAAAAACTTAGTACGTTAAATATTATATTGATCCGAACCATTCATCTATGCAGTTCGAACTACTGCTCAGAATTTAAATAAGAATATCAAAACATTAAACATTCAAAAACTTGAAAATTGAAATTAATTGTATGGAAACACCGATTAATATGTTAAAATTAAATATTATACATTTTTATCATACTTTTCACTATAATCGTTTTCGAGCACACTCGTCACTAAATTATGTTAATTTTCTTTTACGATAGTTCAACTTTAAAATTTTATTTCGGATAATATGTATTTGTTAGTATAGAAAACATGTGTGCCTAGATATTTTATTTTTCTCGATTCCTAAATTGTTTTCTACATATGACTAGAAGGATTTTTAGTTCATTACTATATTTTTATACGTTACGTAAAAATATAAAATACGTTTCTAGTTTCTATAATATCCAAACATAATTAATCGAAACTGTAGTTTATTAATTAAATAAATTATCAATCCAATTTTAATGAATACAACCGTTGTCTTGGTTTCTATTTTTTGTTCGTTTTATTTAGACATTTAGTAAATGTTAATATTTTTTTGTCATCAATGATCACGAAAAATAGAATAAATATACAATTTCTTGCTTAAGTGATAATTTCCTTTGATTATTGTCTATTTCAACAACCAGTCATCATTTTATCAGTTTAAATCTTAACGTTTTGTCTGATTCTACTCTTTTAGTTTTTATACTTGCAAACCACTGGCGCCATTTCAAATATTACATTCTTGTTTCTAATGCACTTGGATATTTTATTTTGTAATGTACCAAAATGAAACTTGTATTGTTTTAACAATAAGAGAAATATTAACAACTTCTAAAATCATATAATTAAAAATACAGACAATGATAGGTAGTTTGTTAAGGTTTTTTTTTGGTATTATTATTTAACCCAACGTAAACGTACTTTGTCATACTTACTTTTGTTACAAAAATGTTACATTTTTTATAATTATTTACGATTATTTAGATTTACATAAAAAATTATATTTTGCACTAAGTAGGTACCTATCATACGGTATAATTTAAAAACCACAAAAAAAAACACTTTTCTAGCCTCAAGGGATCTGTTACATTTCCGTTTAATTTTTTTCACTCATTCCAAATTTCCAAATGTTATAAGTGGTTCAAGAATTGTAATAACTGTGAACTATGTGTATTAAATAATCATTGAGTTTTTTTTCCTCTTTTAATTCACTGTATTAGTGTCTAATTGCTAGTCCCTCAAACACGGATCTCGAAAACCAGTCTGTCAGCTTTTTTCATCTATTGAACATCCATGTCGTTTGTGAAAAAGAAGCTGCGGCTTTGAAGAAAATCTTGGATACTGCTTATGTTATATGACTCCCCTCTTCAGCCTGTAATAACAATTGCATTGTAGACTTTTGACCATCTTTGGAACTTGTTCGCTGATATAAATAATTAATATGAGCATTAAATGTATCATGCGCCTATGCCTGTAATGATGATACACATATTCATTACATTATAATATTTTATTGTTTATCATATTATTCCTTTAGGTATATGCGTAAATTGTTCACTGTTGATTGTTTTTTCTGATTCATTTACCATCATAAATTTACAGCGTGCAAAATGTTTTAAAATGACGTTAAATTCGATTTTGTAAGGTATCAATGTTATATTATTTCCTTGTCGAGAAAGTCGGTCGCATTCCATCTGTAAAAAGGTTCTTTATATATTAACTGAGAGATGAGACATATTGAAGTTATTGATCTCAACGAATGATAATAATGGATAAATTGTGTTTTCATAAAAGTCGATACTCTTTCCAACGGTGTAGCAACATCTGTCAAATATCATGCAAATAATATCTGTATTTGTGCGACTAATTTTTTCACCGGAACCTTTGTTGACAGCCTTCATTGGAAAGACGGATTATTTGTCACTACTCACTAGCTTTTTCTAAAAAGAGGAATCTTAAATCACTTGGTTTTCTCTTCATTTTTTTAAATTAAAAATAGAAGATTAGCTCAATTGTTTAAAAACTAAATACATTTAGCATTTGAACATTAAAAAATCTGGGTTTTATCGGTTGATTAGAATCGGTTAATCGAAATTGGTTAGGATGAAAACAAAATATACTGCTATGTTACAATATTTACAGGAGTACCTAATGTAAATATTTATGCTTTTGGAAGTTATACAAATAATGAACCGATATGTGAACTTATGAAATAATATATTTGTGTAGATACTTCGAAAAAAAATATTTTGTTGAATAAATGAACTTAAAATGGAATCTAGTCAAACGATTTTCAACTGAAAAATCTTAAGTTCACAAACATTCTGTTTGTAAATCCTTTATTATTGTCATAAACTATTGTCTAACCTTTTAATGTTGAATACTATCACTTAAAAAACAGGTTTCATTAGGATTTCGAACAACTATTATACATATTATAACTGTTTAATACAGGTGTATAATGATAATAATAATATGCTCTTTAACGAACTGTTTTAATTCCTAAGAAAAGTGAATAAATGATTAAATGAACAATATTTATCTTTTAGTTTTGGCTCACCTATTTTTTCGTCCACATTTTTATTTATATTTGAGCGGAGCGATGAATGTATTGATTTTACAATAGTGTGTGTTTTTATTTTAATTTTTTTTTGTACACGGTAAATAGTCGAAATAATTTTCATTTTCAGTATTTCTTCCGGTGGGAAAGTGAATCTAGTTGAAGCATTCGAGAGGTCAAAAATTGCCTTCAGTTTTCAAAAGCACCTAAAACAAAACAAAAAAAATTCGAAAAACGGAAATTTTTAATAAAATCGATTTTAGTTTTTGACGTATTCTAAAAAAATGACCACAAATAGGTTAGATACATGTAATTTTTACAGAATATTTATACTAGCGTTTTCTATACTCTGAAATATTTTCAAAATATTTTGACTAATTTTGAGCTATTTATGCACGTATAAATGTTCGATCGGTCAAAAAACTTGAAAATGTAATACTAGGTTCCTGTTAACGTACGTTTTAAAATGTTCAGTTTTTTCTTCTATACATGTCAATAATATTTTATTTGTTTGTAAAAAAATCTTAGAAAGTTAATTAAAGACTCCTGGAATATCGTTACAAATTTACAATAGCAGTTGAAAAATATTAAA